TACTATTTTAGTGAGAAGTATGAAATATTTAGTCGTTTTTTGTTCAATCTGTTTCATTGCATATCGTAGATTTTTTTACTAATTATATTTTTTCTCTTTTACAAACGTATTGATCCTTATGCCATGCTTACCTCTCTCTCTCTCTCTCTCTCTCTCTCTCTCCCTATCTGTACATTATGTTAATCTTGTTACAACTAATTAATTACACGAGTGAGTACTTGTGCGACAAATTATGATGGCGACGAATTGTCCGCGACGAATTGTCCGTCCACCATATTTTTCAATTTATGATTATATAGAACCATGTGCATGAACATACCTATGCGTGACGGTTTGTCACCATCAAGATGACTTGTGATTATCATGAATGCAGCTTTTTGCTCTCTGTTTAGTGGGTCTTGATCAGCGACGCTCTTTTGATTACAATATGTTGTACTTATTACTGCAGCAACTGGAAGAATTGAGTTATAATTATCACGCATGTTCATGTTTGAACTGGTTGAATTTATCAGTGTTACAACTGTGTCTTCCATATCGTCAGTATTCGACTCGTCGCCTGTTTTATAATTTTTGCTAGCGATTAAATTTCGTCTGACTCGCTCTCTTTCAGCTGCTCTTGCCATTTAGTATTGAGTCGAACGAGATCAGATGTTGAAGGAACAAATGATGCCATCTGTTGATAATTATCAGCAAATGGTGCATTTATCAAACTTTGATTCGGTGTTACAAGAAAGGATAGCGTTGTTTTTAAAGATGAGTCGTTACGAATCAAGATTACATACTGTGTGTATGAGAGAATCGTCCCATTTGTTCTACAACTTCTATAGTTTCCTCTATATACACATTTTCTGTTGATTTCTTCATGCTGTTCATTGCAACTGTAGTAGAATCGTTTAAATTACCGAGCAACATCGTATGATCTTTGATTTTTTGGAAACAGTTCGGGCTCGATTGTGTCGTTCTCAACTTGAGCTTCTGTAATCACTTTCACTAAGTGTTCATCTCGGTCTTTCTTACACTCGTGTAAAAGTTGAATATTATCGATGATATTCTGCGAGTGCCCAGATATACGATGGTGACGAGAGCTAAGTGTGTCTTCCAATTTCTGGTTGACATCGCAAAGATCAGATACATTTCGCCAAGGCACAAAAAGTGTAAGAATAGCTCGACAATATCGTTCTTGAGTGTCTTCACGATCCCG